GACCCCCCCCGCCCGGGCTTTTTCCGCCGGGGACGGCATGGAGCCGGCGGCCAACTGGGGGCTGCTGATACAGCTCGCGCTCCTTCTGACTCGTCCCCAAGGTAAGGGCCGGCCGGGGGTCGCCCGCTCCCCTCTCGAGAAGGACACCTCTTTTGCTCCCCCCCCCCGGCCCCCGGTTTGCATTTCCTTTTGCTTTCTCCATCCCCGGGACGGAGCGGAGGTTGAGTTTAGGGAGCGGAGGCTGAACCCGCCCTCCCTTTTGGACCTCCTGCAACCCCCCGCCCAACGGAGCACCCCTCTTCAAATGCACAGGGCGAAGCGGGGCTCGGTTGCCCTCCGGCTTGAGGGCGTCCCTGCCCTTTCTTGTCCCGGGGAACTGTCCCCCAAAGAGCGCCGGGGCTCTGCTGGCCTTCCCGGGCAAGGTGCACGGAGCAATCTCTGCAGAGCGCGAAAGGTCCTTTTGGCTTAACTCGAAGCCTTCAGGGGAACGGGCGCCCAGGCACCTGTCTCGGTGGAAGGGGTGCCTCTGCTCTGGAGCTGCTCATGAACCAGAAACGCCTGAGAAGTTGGCACGCATCATCGGCTTTAAAGCAACTTTTGGAGGATTGGGGGGGGGGTGATGGGGCGAGTACTGAAGACACCCCTGCTGAAACCACGGAAAACCAGGTCATTAATATCTTCCAAATCATGCAAAGAAAGAGGCTTAGCGCAGCTGCCTTGAGCAGCAGGATCCTTTTTAATACAGAGTTTCTCCTTTTGCAAAAGTAGCAGCTTAAGCAGCAAACTTGCCACAGGATTGTGAATAACCAAGTAACTTCTAAAACTTATCCTAAAATAGCAGTTATCTAAACAACCCAGTAAACGGTGTTGGGTGTTGATAGGATTATGTCTCTGGGTAGCCATGAATTTGTTAGAAGATCTTGGACAATGGTGGTCTTTTGGGGTCATTACAAGTATCTAAAATAGGAACATGGATAATCCTGTTTTCTGGATTCTGATGCTGAAGCATTTTGTATAAAATAGATTGCAACACTGGATAATAAACAATAGCTCCAATTCTTTGTTTTAAATTCATAAACAATAGTTGGTATTTTCACACACCGAGGCTATAACCCTGCAGCCAATTGTGGATTGTATCTGATGGTGGGAAGGGGTCATTTTTTTTTTTTTTT